TAATAAATCTAAAAAGGATTAAATCTCTGTGTGTTTCTTATCCTTTGAAGCTGCTAAAGATGAAACTTATACCTGCACAGGTAAGTAGGATACCCACTCTTTCATTCTCCAGTCTCAGTTCACGTAATTATCCTCCCTTTTGTTTGCTTCCCATGATATATTTCTCTTTCCGTCTCCATTTTACTTTGTTAGCTCAATTAATTGAACAATTTTCACTCAATTTTATTAATAATATCCTTCTGGTTTTATTTTTAAAGTGAAAATTGTGTCACAAGAAGACCACAAAATATTATCCAAAAGCACTAGTATTTTTGAGAAAGTGGTATGTGAAGTATTTTGAATCTTCCATCTCCTTTTTCTCTGAAAAGTAGGATTCTAAAGATCAAAAGTTATGTCTGTGTATTGATTATCCCATTCTATGGACGCAAAAGGAAACAGTATACTAGCTTTATTTTTACCAGAGGAATTTAATAATTGTTCCCAATCTGAATATCATCAAAATTATCATAATAGGTAACACTTGTTTAGGATTTACTATATGCAAGAGCATTTTTTGATTTTTTTTCTTGTTTCAGCTCATTTAATCCTCAAAACAACCATATGAGGTGGTGATTCTTAGTATCTGTTTTTTACCGATGAAGAAATGCAGGCACCTGACAGTTTAGTAACTCACCCTAGATCACACAGCTAGTAAATGGAAGATCTGAGGATGTAAACAGTTGGCCCCTATATCTGTGCTCTTACACATTGCATTATACTGTGTTTTGGAAATTGCTGCTATATAAGTTTCCTTTTCCCTACATCAGTTTTGAAATATCTTGGTTTTGAATTAGAAAAACAATAAATGGTACCTCTAAAAATAGAATAAATTAGTTTAGGAAAAAGAAATTAGCATAAAATTATTTTAAATCCCACTACCTATATAAATTTTGAGTAAATCTTGAATATTTCCTCATGCAAAATGCTATTTGGTTCCCCCAAAATAAAAAGATTTATGTCCTATTTCCTTGATTTATTGGCATTCTTTCCATGCTAATTGATATCGATTTAATAACTATTTGTAAAGTCTACACTGTATTAATTTATCCATTTATTTAACTAATCAGTCTCTTATTTTTGAATAATTCATTTGTTTCTACTTATAATCATAATACTCATAATTAATATCAAATAACTTTTAAAATATATTTTCTTCTATTTGCCTGCTTATTTCTTCACAATTAATTCCATGAAATAGGATTACTATGTCACAGGTAAAATATTTTTTACTTCTATTGCTCTTTTGCCATCTGAAGTGATTGCATATTTCACATTCCCATCAGCTGAGACTTAGAAACACTGATTCCTCAATCCCACAGCAATAATAGGTTTAATCATTCTGTTCAGGAATTAATATAAAAAATGGAACCTATTTTCTAAATTTGGAGTAAACTTAGAAAAGACTTCTTAACCTAAAATTTTAAAAATTAATTCATGTATATTTTACTAAAATTTTATAATTATTCTTTTGCCTTTAAGCCTTCCAATCATCCAGAAGTTACTTTGCCATAAAATGTAGATAACACACAGTTGAATATTTCCAATGTTGAGTTACATGTTTAACAACTTTTGAATACTATGACCTTTTAAATAATCCTTCATTTTTCTACATAAGTATAATGCCTTCTTTATTATACACTAAATTTCCTAATATGTATCTAATTCTTGACTGTGTTTTTGTTCCATTTTCTGTTCAATTTAGTCAAATTAATCATTGTCTAATTATCATAGGTTTATGATATATTCCAATTTCTTTTCCAGGAAGCATTTACTTCTTTCTTGCAACTCTTATTATGTTTCCTTTTTCAAATTTCCCTGAGATTTTTTTTTATTTTAAAATATTACAGGTGTATCAATAGTTTTGTTACATGGATCACTTTTATAATGCTTGAGTTATGGTTATTTTTTTTCCGGAAAGCATTCACTTCTCTCCCACAACTCTTATTAGGTTTTCTTTGTTAAATTTCCCTCAGTTTTGATATTGACTTTTGCATTATTTTGTATTGTTCTGACAGATTTCCATTAGGTGTTTAAGAGTACTGCAGTTATCCTATGGATTAGTTCATTAAGAATTGATATTATTATAACTTGCAAAGTTTTTTTTCTATTAGCATCATTTGATCTCTCATTTTATTCAAGTTTTCAAATATAAAAATTTGTTTTTTCAATAGAATGCATACACAGCACATTTGTTTCCTCTATAAATAACTTCTTTTTATCATATTTTAGCAGCTTATTGACTCTTTTATTTATTTAAATAATATTAGATTTAATATTACGATCTAATTATCTTAAGTTTTTGAAGTAGACAACAGTGTGATTTGCCAATCAATTATTGCAGCTTTGCTACCTCTTCTCTGATAGTATTACTTGATTTAATCTTCTTGTCTACTTTATAATATGCTGTTGAGCCCTAGTGTTAGCAGGCTTCCTTCTTTATGCTCTTAATTTTAATGTTTCATCTATAATCGAAAGCTGACTATTGGTTTAAAATTTCTATTGAAAGTACCTGGGGATGGACATGCTTGAAGCTCTGACTTGGGTGGGGCAAAGGCAATGTATGTAACCTAAACATCTGTACCCCTCGAATGTGCTGAGATAAAAAAATAAAAGCATCATGAATGAAAAATTTCTTATACTTTGTGTTTTACTAAGACTTTTATTAGGAATTGGTTTTGTGATTTATCCAGTAACTGTACAGTACATTCACTGTCAAAAGTTTTTATAGAAATACCCTCCGAAATCGAACTATGCTGTCTTCACTTGTAGAAATGGAGTGGGACTTCTAGAATTTCCCCTTGATAGTCTCACCAAAGGATTTTAGTTAGAAAGTCATATGATCGTACTTCATGTTTAGGTAGACACTTCTGGAAGCATAGTATAAAACAGTCTGGTCTTAGGGAAGAATGGAAGCAGAGATATCTTTCAACAGCATTTTCAATGGTCCAGTTGATAAAATATGGAAAATGCATGCAAAAAATGGCAATGGAAATGTAGAGGAAGAAACCAAATTAAGAAATATTAATGTTTGGCCGAGCATGGTGGCTCATGCCTGTAATCCTAGAACTCTGGGAGGCCGAGGTGGGAGGATTACTCAAGGTCAGGAGTTCAAGATCAGCCTGAGCAAGAGTGAGACCCCATCTCTACTAAAAATAGAAAGAAATTAGCTGGACAACTAAAAATATATAGAAAAAAATTAACTGGGCATAGTGGCACATGCCTGTAGACCCAGCTATTTGGGAGGCGGTGGCAGAAGGATCACTTGAGCCTAGGAGTTTGAGGTTGCTGTGAGCGAGGCTGACACCAAGGGACTCTAGCCCAGGCAACAGAGCAAGACTCTGTATCAAAAAAATAAATAAATAAATAAGAAAGAAGTATTAATATTTGATACTAAAAGGTGTGCAACTATAGATAGATACTGATAGAATGTGAAGGGAGGACAAGAGTGCCACAGAGGTCTATACTGGGCATCTGGGAGAATGATAATGATATTTATTAAGGCGTTAAAGTACAGTGGATTCGAGTAAATTGTACAGTAGATAAGAACATGAGTTCAGTTTTGATCAGTTAAATTAACGGTGGAGTTGGCACTCCCATTAGAATATACCATATATAGTTTGGGATATACAATTCGGGTTTGGGGATAAAGCTACAGGCTTAGAAGTCAATGTATAGGCATTATACTAGCTTAAGTGAGTAAACTGACATGGAATTTTAAAAAAAAACTTGTGTCAGAACTCTGAGTTATACCAAATATTAAATGGGAGCAGAGGACAATTCTTGTGTCAGCAAAAGATATAGAGAAGAAGTTGGAAATATAGGGGAACAATTAGGGGAGAGCTGTCATAGAAATATTCTGAATGCATTCAGCTACAATTAACAAAAAACCTGATTTATAATGGATCAAACAAACTGGAGGTTACTTTTCTTACATTACAAGAAATCTGAAGAGAGATCATTGCTAGCTTTGGCTAAGTGGCTCAATATGCCATTTAGAACCCAGTTCCTTTTTAATATTTCGCTGTTACTTTATATATTTTAGAATTTTGTGCTTGCTTCACCTTATCACTACACTGACACTAAATAAAAGGAAAAATGGACTGGAAGAAAACCTCCCCATGGTCGTTTGTCCTTTCATTTAAGAAGGAAAGTCCTCCAAAGAAGATACTGGTTTACATCTCAGTGTACAATTCTGGAGTCATATGCCCTGTCTTAGGCAAATCCATAGCCAAGAATAATGGGATGATAGCCACTGGCATAGAAAAATAATCCATCATGTTCTTGATCTGAAACAGGACTACTGTATTCTGAAACAGGTATTGTTTTGTACATAATAATACATTAAATACACAGGTTAGGTTTATGTATGGATTATGATAATAATGAGTCATGAGTTAAACATTATGAATAATCTCTATCTGTGCACCTGAGCTCTATGTTAAATTGTTCAAACAGAAACAAAACACACACACAAACTGAGACAGAGTAAATATTATTACACAGTTTGGGCCTGAAAATACTGATCTGAAGTAAGAAATTCAGTAAAGGACAATTTGCAAGTTAATTCAATTTGCAAATTAATTCATATTAACATGTGAATAATTTCTGTCACCTGAGTTTAATTAGGGTGGGATGACACCTAGGTCAGGGTCTAGAAATCCTGGAGAAGCAAAACAAAACAAACCAAAGGCCTAATAACAGAATAAAAAGGGAAGTAACCCCATTTAATACATTCATAATTTTCTTTCCTTTTTCATTTATGTAATCGGTCTCCTAATCACCATACTTCTATTTCCCTTTTTTAAAATCCAATTCAATGATTTCTACAATAACTCTAGTGTATGTAACCCACAAAGCAAACTAACAGGATAAATAGGGAACACACTTTAATACCACTCATTCTGACTTCTCATCATTTTCTATCCTCAGGTGGTTTGAAATCAGCTCTTCTACCCAAGCCAATGGATGGATTAAATGACTCCTTGGTTTCTGAGTTTGTGTTGCTAGGACTGTCTAGTTCTCAGAAAACCAAAGTTTTCCTCATTCTGGCATTCTCCTTGCTGTATTTAGGGATCATCCTGGGAAATCTCTTCATTGTGTTCTTGGTAATTGCTGACTCTCAGCTACAGTCCCCTATGTACTTCCTGCTGGCCAACCTGTCCCTCATTGACGTGGGCCTTTCCTCTACTGCAATCCCCAAGATGATCTCAGACCTTTCAAATGAGTACAAAATAATTTCTTTCCAAAGTTGTATGACTCAGATATGCTTCATCCATATCATGGGAGGAGTGGAGATGGTGCTGCTCATAGCCATGGCATTCGACAGGTATACGGCAATCTGTAAGCCTCTCCACTACTTGAACATTATGAGCCCTAAAAGATGTGTTTCATTTGTAATCACGGGCTGGGTAACTGGAGTGATCCATGCTATGTCTCAATTTGCTTTTGTTATCAACTTGCCTTTTTGTGGCCCTAATAAGGTAGACAGCTTTTATTGTGACTTTCCCAGGATCATAAAACTTGCATGCACAGAGGGAGCCAAGTTTGAGTTTGTTGTTGCTGCCAACAGTGGGTTTATGAGCATGGGCACCTTCTTTCTGCTCATCCTTTCCTACATCTTCATTTTGGCCACTGTCTGGAAACGTTCTTCTGGAGACTTATCCAAGGCCTTTGTCACTTTGTCAGCTCACATCACTGTGGTTGTTCTTTTTTTCACTCCATGCATGTTTCTTTATGTGTGGCCTTTTCCCACATCATCAGTTGACAAATATCTGTTCATTGTTGACTTTGCTGTCACCCCTGCCTTGAATCCTGTCATCTATACATTAAGGAACAAAGATATGAAGATAGCCATATTAAGATTGAGCAAACGGAGGCATTATGTCAGATTGTGCTGACCAGATCTATCTTTGCAGTTCTAAAATTGTATATCCACCCACCTGCTCGACATTTCAACTCAGGCATCTGTCATTTAACATGATGTTCAAGCTAAACTGGACACAGCATCTACCTCATTAGGCATATTTCTGCTACTTTTGTACAGCATTTACTTAATTGCTTTTATTATCATAGGAAATGTGAATCTACTGTAATATGGGTTATTTTAGTAGACAGCAGCATTATTTGTAAATATTATTTTATTATTTAAATTGTAATCATTTTGACCATAAGAAATGATATATTAACATCTCTCCTTTTTTCTGTAAGCTTCTCTCAACTGCAAATTTGTTTTGGTAAATGTCAGAAATCATCATATAGAATAATTACACATGTAGGACTATTACCTTTACTTATTGTCTTAGGTTGCATTGTCAGATGAAGACCCAAACACAATTTTTGTTTGCAAGTAGTTCATTTGGAAGCTGATTTTTTGAAGCATCAGTAAGTGGGCGGGGAAGTGATACTGAGAAGTAGGAGATTGTTATGTTAATAAACATAACTGGGATGCATGCCTACTGTAGCCCTGAGTGATTCTGTAGATTGTGTGACTTAGGATTATCTCAATTGAAGAGCAAGATATGTAGACTTTTTCATTTTTAGAGGGTGCATTAACTCTTTAGCATGTCCAAACTCTCCCACACAGAACATTGTGCATGTTAAGAAGCCAGAGACAAGCTGGCAGGTAGGCTTTCAGGTGCTGGCAATAGAGAATCATCTCCTTGTTTGGCAACGATAAATGCTGAGGTAGATTTACCTTTTAAAGACATTTAGGCCCCACTTAATTTTAAGTTTTAATTTTAATTTTTAAGTCTTTGAAGTGGTGTCTATTCACAATTTCACAAACACACACATACACACACACGACTTAAAACATGAGGGTAATGGGGTAAGCTACAACAGCATTTTCACTCCTAATTGATAGTCACCATCTCCTCCCTTAATGATTCTAAATTTCCCTCATCCTCAGATAGTATTTCTGCAGACCTAGGGTGCTTGCCAAGTGAGGTAGCCCAGTTCATTTATGAGCAGTTTGAGCTCCTGGTAAAAATGTTCTTGCCAATCTATTGTCGCTACAATTTTCCTTTTACAGTTTTCATCAATCAGAAAACTACCAGGTAACGGTGCTTAGGTAGATTCCTAGTTTTAGGCGAACTCTTCACTTCATTCCCATGTCTTTATCCAATATGCGATAAAAATGAGGTAATCCATTTTCTGTCTGCTCATTCTCCACCAGCATAAGGAACCCTAAATAACAGGAAAGCAGCTAAAAATATTTTAGATTTATTATAATCTATACTGTGTCTCTCCACTCTAGTAGATCCTAAAATTTTAGGAACAGAAAACAGAACTGCATACGGTCACTAAGATTTGTGGTAATAAATGCTACTCTTTTCTGTATCCCTTGCTACAGAGCTACATATTTTATCCACAGGGAACATATGACCATTGAACGGTTATTGGTTCAAAGCATTGGTTCAAATCTTAAAGCACAGATTCCAACTTTGCAGACTATCATCTTTAAGCTGGTGCCTCAGTTGCAACTTTAAAAGGCTATTCCAGTATTCTATAAGATTGACAACTCTCAGTTGTCACACTATATGGTAGGATCAGTGGGTTCCCTAGTTTTGTGTGCTTTTGTGCACTTTCTTTGCCACAAAGTAGATACCCTGGGCCTAAGGAAATACTATGCAAGATTTCATATTGGAAATTACCCTATGAACTCATGGATAGAGGTGCTGAAAAGTACTGAAAGTAAGAAAGATAAACCATCCTCAGAATATATATTAATCCCAGTAAGGACAAATCTCTGTCTTCTCCAGTTCAGGAGTGGTTCAATGTAAGCACCACCCTCAAGTGACTGATTTCAGTACTCAGAAGAGGATATAATTTCAAGGATCTACCTGTGCTACTGACAGATCAAGCCTTTACATTGCCACTAACTAGCAAAAGCCTGAACAAGATGCCTACTCTGTGGATTCCATGGATAACCTTCCTTTCCACCATAGTATCATCTTCATTCATGGTTGCATTGTAAAAGTACTAGCTTGGCTGAGAGAGGCTAACCATCATTTGCCTGTTCATTTAACTAGTTAAACACTTTATACCTAGCAGATGATTCTCTATATTAAATTATCATTGTTCAAATAAATTATGTGGCTTCTGTCTCCTGGCTAAAACCTGATTAACATGTTCTACTCCTTGAAAAAAGGAAAAAGAAATACCTAAATGGTTCCATCAGTGAATTCATCCAAAAATTTAGGAATAGAAAGAATTCTTTTTTTTTATCATCTTTATTTTATTGATGAGAAAGCAGGGTATGGAGAGGTTAAACAATTTCCCCAACGCCACACATATATAAAAGCATTCTTAAATAAACTCCTTTAGAAATACGTAAAAAGAAAAAACAATTTATATGGTTAATGTGACATAAAGGGTCTGAATGTCAAAGAGCACAAGAATCAGAGTTTTTACTCAGTTTCAAACTCTTATAATAATTCAAAAGATAAGCGATAAGTGAAGCAGAAGTCTGAGACTGAAAACATAATTCAAGTTCTTTCTCATTGCATTGGGATGTGCTCTGGCCCAGATAAAAATCTCATAGGTCTCCATTGATGCATGAAAGATATCAGTTAACAAAAAGGAGTTATTTTAGTCATGAAATATTTCCCTTTATACTCAAAGAATTGCAAAGCAGACACTAATATTTTTCTCTGGGTGTGTCCCACAAAACATAAACTCCTGGTTAACATGAACAAACTAAAAGGACCAGGTAATAACTACTGATAACAACCCATTATCAATTTTCTAATAAATACCATTAGGAGAAGATTCAGTTATTACATTTTTATAGAGATTTGACCACATCATTTTCTTCCTGCTATTTGCATTCATTCTTTTCTCTCCCTGTCTCTCTCTCTCTCTCTGTGTCTCTCTCTCTGTCTCTCTGTCTCTCTGTCTCTCTCTCTCTCTCCATGAAACAGAGGATGAGTTACAAACCAGTGATTAATACTTCTCTTACAATAACCAGAATAATTAGTTAAAAGAACAAGAACATTATAAGAAAGGAAAATTACAAGCCAATTTCTCCTTTCAACAAATACACAAAAATCTAAATAATAATAACAAACCAAAAGTAGTAATTTATAAAGAGGATAATACATCATGGTAAGTTGGCTTTATTCCCAGAAAGTAAAAATATTTTAACTTTTGTGAGTCAATGAAAGGAATCCACCATGTTAAGAATAGGAAGAAGAAAAATCATACTAACATCTTGAGAGATACAGAAAAAGCATTTGAAAAAATTCAATATCCATTCTCAATAAAACTTTTAGAAAAGCCTTAGCAAACTAGGCAAAAAAATGTGTATTGGATTGAACAGTGTCTCCCAAAAACCCATGTCCCAGACCCCAGAATGTGACCTTGTTTGGAAATACGGTTTTTGTAGATGTAATTAAGATAATGATCAAGGCCTGGAGAGGTGGCTCAGGCTAGTGTAATCCTAGCACTGTGGGAGGCCGAGACAGGAGGATCGCTCAAGGTTAGGAGTTCGAAACCAGCCAAAGCAAGAGTGAGACCCTGCCTCTACTAAAAATACAAAGAAATTAATTGGCCAACTAAAAAACTTCTGCCATCTGTTACCTTCTACATATTTCTACTTTCTTTATTGAGGTATGAGTGGGATCGGTCTGTAGATTAGTGAAAATGATTATTGGTTTTACAGCTGGAAAAGAAAAAAACCCTCACACTTATTGTTTTGGTGCAACCATCTACCTGAAATCTCAATGGCCACTGACAGCTGAACACAGCTATAAGCAATTTTTCTCTGACAAAACTTAACTAATATATGACTTGTACATTGCCATGGAGATTCCTGAATACTCTGTCACTGAGTTTAGATTGAGGGTGGGGACAACCTAGGTCAGGGTCTAGAAATCCTGGGAAGCAAAACAACAAAACCTAACAGGCTAAAACAGAATAAAAGGGAAGTAACCATTAATACATTCATATTCTTCGCTTTTTTAGTATCGTCTCCTAATCACGATACTTCTATTTCCTTTTTTAAATCCAAATTCACATGATTTCTACAATAACTCTTAGCGTATGTAACACCACAAGCAAACTAACAGGATAAATAGGGAACACACTTTGAATAAGCACTCATTGACTTGACTTATCATTTCTATCTCAGGTGGTTGAAATCAGCTCTTCTACCGAAGCCAATGGATGGATTGAAATGACTCCTTGGTTTCTGATATTGTGTATGCTAGGACTGGTCTAGTTCTCAGAAAACCAGCAGAGTTTTCCTTCCATTCTGCATTTTTCTCTTGGCCTGTATCTTAGGGATCATCCTGGGAAATGCTCTTCATCTGTGTTCTTGTAATTGCTGGACTCTCAGCTAACAGCCTCCGTATGTACTTCCTGCTGGCAACCTGTCCCTCATTGACGTGGGCCTTTCCTCCTACTTGCAATTCCCCAAGGATGATCTCAGACTTTCAAATGAGTACAAAATATTTGCTTTCAAAGTTGTATGAGCTCAGATATGCGTTGCATCCATATCATGGAGGAGTGGAGATGGTGCTGCTCATGCCATGGCATTGAGCAGGTATGACGCAATCTGTAACCTGTCCACTACCTTGAACATTATGAGCCGCTAAAAGATGTGTTTCATTTGTAATCACGGCTGGGGTTACTGGAGTGAGTCCAGTGCTATGTCTCAATTTGCTTTTGTATCACACTTTGCCGCCTTTTTGGGCCCTAATAAGTAGACAGCTTTTTATTGTACTTCCCAGGGTATCATCAAAACTTGCCATCGGACAGAGGGCAGGTTGAGTTGTTGTTGCGTGCCACAGTGGTTATGAGCATGGGCACCTTCTTTTGCTCATCCTACATCTTCATTTGGCCACATGTCTAGAAACTTCTTCTGGACTCTAATCCAAGGCCTTTTCACTTGTCAGCT